AGGAACCAAGAACAATAGAACCAGTAGCCTTGTCGTTGATGACTTGACTTAGAGTACTTTTACCAGCTCCAGGATTACCCACAAGGAGGACGTTAACATAAGAATCAATTGGATGAGATGATTTTATACCACCAAACTTCTTCAAGACAGAAAGGGTATCAGTTTCCCCTTTCTCCTTAGCTAGTTTAAATGGTGTTCTCCCCTTATTGTCTTTAGCCAATGGATCACATTTACCAGTTGATAGTAAATATTCAGCAGCTGCAGAACAACCCCAACCAGCAGCAGCACAGTGAAGAGGTGTCTGCCCCTCACTGTCAACAGCCATTGGATCATGGTTCCACTCATTGATTAGATATTTGATTACATCGGGTGAGTTCCTAACAGCTGCTTTATGAAGAATTGTCCTGTTGTGAGAGTCAGTAGCCATTGGATCACAGTGACACTCATTAATGAGATACTTTACAGTATCAATGTGTCTAGCAGCACGGTGAAGAACAGTCTCACCCTCATTGTTAGTAGCCATTGGATCACAGTGATGATGATTGATCAAGTACTTCGTGAAATCAAGTGATCCGTGTTCAGCTACTCTGTGAAGAACAGTATTTCCATTATTACCAGGAACCTTTGGATCACAGTGGCCCTCATCAATGAGATATCTCATCACATCTACTTGATTACCTTCTGCAGCAAAGTGAAGAGGTGTCCACCCCCACCTGTTAACAGCCATTGGATCACAGTGACACTCATCAATGAGATATCTCATCACATCAACATGATTACCTTCTGCAGCCCAATGAAGACAAGTCCAATCAACACCATCTCTTTCGTGTGGGTCACAGTGATATTTAGTGATGAGATCTTTTGTAACATCTAACCAGCCATACCTTGAAGACAAATGAAGTAAACTAGTATTATCCCATGCATATCTTCTTTTAATTTTATTTGGTTCCTTCACTAATGGTAGTAAGTGAACAGCTTCTTTATGATCTTCATTCTCAAATGCAACCCAACACTTGTCCTTTAACGACATCTTGTGATCAGTTAATTAGATTCATTGATACCCGCCCACACATCAGGAAGTCAATACAATAATACACACATTATTAGTATAAAATATTTAATTTAATTTTGTACATGTACATACACGAAATACTTTAGTTTATAGCTCAAAATTTTTGTCAGTCAAAAAAGTTTTGTCAAAATCTTAATTTCTTGTTAAAATTAATTTTCTTCAATAAAATTGTAATTGTGTTTATTATAAATTTTCATACTAAGTTACTAACGACGTGAAGCAAAAATTTTGTTGATTAAGAATTTCATCGAGCAAAGATTCTTGATGGATTTGATGAAATTTTTGACTGAAAAAAACTTTAGAGCTATACGGTAGTATTATTAATGATAAAACTCGCTGTTGATATAGAAATTATTTATTTTACGCTGAAACAGTTCGGTTTTTATGCTTTTGCCAAGAATTAGGTATAAAATCATCTTATTTAATTTAAATTTAAATTAAAAGCTAAAATTTTGCGGATTGATAAAAATCAATTTTTTGCGGAAATAATTTTTGCAGATTCGCAATGTTAGTGCCATGCC